AAAATATATGTTAAAAAATAAAATGTACAATACAATGGTTTTAGTATAGTCACAGAATCATGCAGCCATCACCACAATTTTGTAGCACTTTCGACAACCTCCCAAAAAACCCCATACACTCTAGTAGACACTTCCCATGTCTTCCCAGCCCCCCCAGGTCTAGGAAACCACTAAACCACTTTGTCTCTATTTTGGACATTTCATATAAATGGAATCAATATGTGGTCCTTAATGTGCAAACCAGCTGTAGGGATACAAGGACTGAGGCTGTGGGGATGGTCTCACAGGGGGTCAGGGTAGCAAACTTCATCCAAGGTTTGCCCTCTAGGGATGGAAAGTCCTGAGGGCAGACAAAGAGGCTCAGATCTTTGGTGGTGCTGGTGAGAAGGGCAGCGTCAGGACTGCTCACTGGATGGCTGAATGTGGGCAAAGTCTGGGGGTGGGTTAGATTGTGTGCTAAGGACTGTGGGCAACACAGGAGCTGGACTGCAGACAGGAACATGCAGTTTTGGGGCCACAGCTGGTGTGTCCTTCCCTTAAGAATTGCTGGAGACTCGTCCATTGCAGGTGAGCAGGTAGGTCCCCTGTGGGAGGCTGAGGGGCAGGTGACTGAGGATGAATAAGGGGTTGAAGGAGTGCAGTGAGGAAGGCTGGTGGTGTGGTGTGGAGCTCAGCCCACACAGGAGCCAAGGAGTCAGCAGCAACATGGGTGGAGGGGGAGAATGACTCACCTTGTCCCCTACACGCAGTGCATGCTGGTCTGCCTCCTTCAGCCCAGGGCCCTGGGTCTCCGGTGGGGAAAAATGGGCGCATAGAGAGCAGAAGAGCGAAAAGCTGTGGGCATAAAGGCTACCTCGAGAACAGGCCTGGCCTACCTTGGCCATCGCTCTCCGTGGTTACAGCGGCGGCCTGCACACCTAAGGGTCCCCCGTTCCATTCCCGGTCAAGAGCACGTACATGGGTTGCAGGTTCAATCCCTAGTCCCACATTTGGAGTGCATGTCAAAGGCAACCAATCACTGTTTCTCTCTCCCCCTTGCTCCCTTCTGCTCTCTCTTAAAAAAAAACCACTGGAGAAAATATCCTCTGATGAGGATTAAACACACACACAGGCACGGCCTGGACCAGTAAGAGAGTAGGCCATGATCTCTGACTCAGGGGGAGAGGTTCCCCAGTGAGAAGCTGCAGCAGTCCTAGTGTGCCCTGGGGCCCAGCAGCCCCAGTCTGCTGCTGCCTGCCTGTCCTCTGCCTTATGAATAGGCAGACCAACAGGCCACCGACAGCGCCTTGGGCCACCCTACTGCAGAGCAAGGCAAGGCCAGGCCCGCCTGTCCACCCTGTTGGCCCTCTGGTTTGTTGCCTCGTCCTGGGCACCCCGACTCCCAAACCCTG